ACGAGATTTAGGAGGTCGACAGGAAAGCCTGATATGCCTGGCGGGTAGAGACATAGGAGAGCGCCCTCTCTTTCTCGTAGCTAATCGAGGATCGCACCAGATCCCGTTTCTCGCGCACCCGCCATCCCTCCCTTGCCATATACTTTCTGCATGTATTTTTCTGCAGCGGTCTCTCGATCCGAAAAATGTATTTTTAGAGCGTTTCCGGTGGGCGAAAAGCCACTGGGACGCTGCGTCGCGCCAAAGATGCTCTTGAGTGCCTCGCTTGGACAACAGTCCGAACCACTGCCAATTAGTTTGAATCGACAAGAACAGACAAGAACGCGCTTGTGTAATTTCAAAGCCGAATTGTCACAGTGCCCGCGCAGTCTGACAGCACTGACAGTGATAGTAGTTGATTTTATTCCTAGACAGTTTCGGTGTCGAAAACGGTGTCGTTCACAGTTGGCCATTGAGGATCCATATCCTAGGGGTACCGGTTCACAGTGCACACATTACACCGTTCGCACGTTGGATTGTGACGTACACCGCGAATGCAACAGACCATGTTGCCTGGGCATCTCATATAGGAGATACCATCAGGTAGAACATGTTTGCACCAAAACATGTACTTTTGGATTGTCAAGAAGGAAGCGCGCGCAACGAATGCGCTCCTCCGCCTTTTTGTCCGAATGAACGAATATCATACAGCCAGTGAGATCCGGGAAGGATGCGATTTATTTTCGGCCGGTTAGCGGCCGCATATCGTGCGCACTATGATGCTGTGCTAGACACTTGGGAGAGTGAATTTGTATGCTCGATGGACGATCGAATACATCAATGGGACACAGGCAGCTATCACCGTAGAGGCATGAGGCTATCAGAGATCTAGTTTCGGCTGAGTGATGGTATGGACGGTTTCGTGCCATTAATCGTTCTCCGGATATGATCGAAAGAGTCAAGTGGAATAGATTACACGTCCCGAAGCACCCAGACTGACACGAGCACACAGCGGCGCGCCCAGGGCATGCCACGAATCCCGGATACCTCAACTTCCTCTTGTCCATGCTCAACGATGCTATACATACCCTATTAGACACGAAAACAGGCAGACTCGACCCGGAGGTGGGGGAAGTTTTGACGGCTGGTGGAGGGCCACTGGCCGGGTTCCCTTACGAGGCTTTAGATCCCCGCCTCTAGCACTCATCTGCCAAGGCCACCATCAGTGAGTCTGCCACATACCTACTGTTACATAACATCCCTGCACTCCTGCACTCCTGCCTCTCGTGAACCTTGACTTATGACTTGGTACCCAGCTAGCCACCCGGCTAGCTAATGTCTCCATTCCGATTACTGCTAGCCACAACACGCCGACTGTCAGACTCCTGTACTTATCGTCTACATAGGGCCTTGCCCTCAAGGACAATAAACGAGACTCACAAACAAACAAGTGGAATAGATGGAGGGAACTTCTTCTGTTATGCTACTCGCAACATACAACTCGAAGGCGATACCAATGTGAAGCGGTGCCAGAATTTCAGTCTGGATAGAAGGAACTAAGAATATCATGACTTGCCGAATGACAAGCCATGGCCGGGTGCCGTGCTGGGGCCTGCCGTCCATGAAACTGCGGAAGCCCATAAATGTACATTCATAGCTCGGGGAAACGTATTCATCATACACCGGGTTCACACCGTGATGTGAGGTAAGATATTAGAGTGACTTCAGGATTGTCCGATCAATAAGACACGAATATGAAGAGTTTTTGGCCAGATCCGTAGATGATCTCGAAAGTGCTTGAAAGTGCGAACTTTGAGCACTGGTCGGGCGTACAGTGTGTTGACGGTGGAATTCAATCACACAGCTCCGGACCCGCAAGCGTGTGCCACAGACGCGTTGAGACAGACAGTCTCGACTCTCCGACAGCTTGTCGCGTCAATAAAGCCAAATAACGCGTTCCACGCTGGTTGACGCCGCTTCGTTCATTCTCCTCGTCTTTCAAAGTACTCGTCCTGCTCAAGCGAAACGCCTTTCGCGTCAAAGCAGCTCCTATTATTTCAGCACAAATCCCATAGTCATCTTGGCTACTCTGTAACATCTAACATGCCTCCCGTCGCACGGTCAGAAGAAGAGGAAGCCGACTTCATGACACAACTGCTTGCTGAAAGCGAGGGCTCTCATTCTTCTGCGGATACTGTAAGAACATCTCGGACGACGCAAAACTCTCAACCTCCGAGGACACCTCCAAGATCACGAGATATTTTCGCGACTCATACATCTCGCATCTTGGCTACCCCCCAAACACCCGCTAGAACATACTCTGCTCAAGACGTCGATGTTGATCAGCTACTTGCGGGTGCGGAGGACTGGGACTGGGACGATATGAACTCTGATTGCTTATCTCCGAAGAAAAATAAGTCGCCAAAGAAAGTGGTACGGTACTTACTTGCCCTACCTATGCGTCTTGTTAATGATTGCTTTAGCGGCCGGCAATTCACGCTCCTCCTAAACATGACCTTCGAAAGTGCATACGATGTAGTGTTAAACATGTGACCGACATGTATGACGATAGTAGCTATCAGAAGGTGAGTACGACATCCCAACAGGCATATTTGCACTGCCATTTTTACGGCTTTCTCGCGAGTCAGCTTCTGACGTTACGCTGTGCAAAGCAGCGATAAAGCCATGTCTCGGGGATATGCAATATCTCATCCTTCGCTCCGGATTTTAACATCCGGGAGAACCCCACACGCTCTTAGACGTAAAACTGTGGACAGCGTTTTTTGGACGAAGTTCCGACTCGTTCTCGCCAGTCCCCGCACTCCACGTCGGATTCCTGGCGTTTCTGAAGAAGTTATGTTTTCATCAGCAACTCATATGACGGTGCTTTGTCAGGACTTGGTGGTCGAGGTTATACCGGGACACGAATGTCGGCGTGTTATCCTACGTGACGGCTGGATAACTGCGGATGTACGTCCAGGTAAATCAAGCAATTCATTGCCCATGAATCCATCTAATGCTTACATCAGGCGATATCGTTAATATAATTGGCGATTTTTCGGTACCGCTCTTCACTTCTGATTCCATGAACATGCCATCAATATCAATCAGCTCCAAATCAAATTTTTTCATTCATCACCCCGACCTACTAATCACGGCTACCGCGCTCTCGTCGGCTCCTCAGTGTCTGCGCAAGCCACTAATATCAAATCTTGTTCGCGGGTCGGTGGACGTTACCCCCTCACTCGTATGGGGCACCATGTTGCATGAAGTGATGCAGACTTGCTTATCTGAAGGTTGTTGGGACGAAAAATTCGTCGAGGCTAGAATTACCGATGAAGTGGGCAGGGGCCTCTCAGAACTGATGCGAATCAATACGAGTGTGGAACAGGCCACAATAGAAATGAAAGCGCGCGCGAGAGGCATCAAGTCGTTCGCTGACAAGTACATTGCTCAGGAACCAAAGGTAAATAAAAAGAACACTTAGCTCGTCGTTTCCTTCTCACGAAGATCGTAGTCTGATGCGATCTTAACTAACACGCGTGCTGCACAAGGGCAAACGTCACTGCTCGCCATATCCAAACTTCACGACATCGAAGAAGATATCTGGTCCCCGACATATGGCATCAAAGGGAAGATTGACGCGTCCGTCAATGCAGTAATATCCGAAGTTGAAGAGGGGGTGGGCTTCTTCAAGGGACCTGCAAAGACTACCACTCAAAATTGGACAATGCCCTTTGAAATTAAAACCGGGCGTGCCGGTGCTGGTATGGAGCACCGTGCACAGACCATGTTGTACACTTTGCTTATGGCGGAGCGATACGGGTCAGAAGTGCCCAGCGGGCTGCTTTACTACACGAGGAGTGATGAAGTCGTCCGAGTTCCCGCGGCTAGGAATGAGATACATTCTCTGCTTGTGGCTCGTAATGAGCTGGCTGGCTATATGATGCGACGTATGGGTATTCCAAGGCCACTTGACAGATCGTTACACGACGAAGATATTGGGGGCGGAGGCGATGATCCCGAGCCGCATGACATAGAATCGTTTTTGCCTCCGACAATTGACGACTCGTGGCAATGTGGCAGATGTTATGCGCTGGATACCTGCATGTTATATCGTAAGGTACGCATCTACTCGTAAAATGGCGATCTGCTTCTCACTAGCTTATATTTCTAAGGCCGCTGAAGAGGTAGTGGACACAACGTCTCCGATAGCCGACATTTATGCACTGAAGACTTCCCATATAACTCGGGAACAAGGCGCTTTCTTCAAGAAGTGGGAAGCTTTGATCGCTCTTGAGGAGCAAGATCTGATCCGTTTCAAGAAGGAATTGTGGACCATGGGTGCTCGAGAGCGAGAGATGCATGGTCGCTGTTTCAGTGACATGATCCTCGACGTTTCATATTTCCCCGTTCTAGACAGTCGCGAAGCTGCTCAACACGGGGCCAGGATACACCGTTTTACGTATCGCTTTACGAAGAGCTCCAAGGTAGAGGTGTCATTGTTGAATGGGCATATGAGCTTCGGGGACGCCATAACCGTCTCTGTCGAACCCGACTTGCTTGCGCTGGCCAGAGGTTTCATCATTGGGCTCACTCCACAGGAGTTGGTAGTGGGCGTAGACCACGAGCTCGATCTGCAAGCAATTTTGGAGCGCAAAGGTGGGCTGTCGTCTGAGGTGATTTTTCGCATTGACAAAGACGAGCTCGCTACCGGGATGGGCCGTATTCGCGAGAACATCGCCCACATGTTTTACGCTGATGGTGACTCACGCCGCCTTTCGCTGGTTGTGGATCTGACTCCTCCGCAATTTGACGAAATTGGCGATTTTGACACCGCGACACCGCCTTTGTCAAAGCTGAGCGGCCTGAACTCAAGCCAACGAATTGCAGTGTCAAAGGTACTGAGTGCTCAAGACTACGCTCTTATACTAGGAATGCCAGGAACCGGCAAGACTACTGTCATTGCAGCTATAATCCACGAGCTGGTCAGCATGGGTAAGACGGTGTTGCTTGCTTCGTATACACACTCCGCTGTAGACAACGTCTTGCTCAAACTTAAACACACCGCGGATTTCGGTATCTTGCGTGTTGGAAATCTAGACAAGGTCCGTTAAGTCGCCGAACGTCTGAGTAACTCATGTATATCTCTTATTCCAGATTCATCCAGATGCTTTCGAGTTTACGTTGGCGAGTAGAAGAGCGGCGACCAATATAGAACAGCTCGAGCAGCAAGTAATGACACCGCCTGTGATTGCAACAACGTGTCTGTCCCTCGACCAGTATGTTGTCTGCGCAAAGCTGTTGTTCGCATACTAACTGTATTCTAGTCCTTTGTTCTCCCGTCGCAAGTTTGACTATTGCATAGTGGACGAGGCTTCCCAGATTACTTTGCCCACATGTCTTGGGCCTCTGCGCTTTGCAGACAAGTTCGTCCTCGTCGGCGACCACTTCCAACTACCGCCATTGGTAGGGAATTTTCACCTTGGGAAAGTCTTTCGCTAACGTTGTATTTAAGGTACGAAATCGCGCGGCGCGGAGGGGGGGACTCGATATCTCGCTCTTCAGGCGTCTCTCGGATGCGCATCCGCATGCAGTCGTAGATCTCACAGAGCAATATAGAATGAACGAAGACATCATGCTGCTCTCCAACAAGCTCATCTATAGCGGTCGGCTGCACTGTGGCTCGGATGAAGTAGCGAAGCGCACCCTGACCCTGCCCAATCGTGCCTTCCTTCAGAGCCTCCATGCAAGTGACAAATCCCGTTGCCGGCATGACACGGCCAGCTGCTGGTTAAGCCAGTTATTGGATGAGAGGCAAGTCTGCTGAAATTGTGTCTTGTCGCCTACTAAAAGCTCGTCAATCTAGGTGCAAAGTGGTTTTCGTCGATACAGATGCCGTTCCCGCACACGACTCCCCCGTCGGCGATCTTGTCGAGAATCGCATTGAGGCCCAACTATTGCATCAGGTCGCCGAGTCCCTCATTCGTAGCGGCGTCCGGCAGGACCAGATCGGCGTGCTCTCGCTCTACCGGCAACAAATCAAGCTTCTGTCTTATTACTTGCAGGACAGGAAAGAGGTTGAGGTTCTGACTGCAGACCGTAGTCAAGGTCGCGACAAGGACTGCATTCTGATCTCGATGGTGCGGTCCAATGCCGAAGGCCAGGTAGGCTATGTACTACTGTTTGAAAGCCAGCCGCTGAATGGAGTACATATGCACAGGTAGGCGATCTGGTAAAAGATTGGCGTAGGATGAACGTATCCTTCACACGTGCTCGGTCAAAGCTCATTATATTTGGCTCTCGATCGACGCTGCAAGGCACCTCACTACTCAAAGAATTCTTTGAGCTTATGGAGAGCAAGGGGTGGATTCTCCGTTTGCCAGCGAACGCGCACGAGATGCATATCTTGCCCGCCTGTGGAGATTTTTCCAAAAAGCGACCAGCTGAAGATGATAGCTATGATAGCAAGGACACCGATCATGAGCGGAAGAGAGGCCGCAGGATCATTACGGTGGATTGCGGGTTGTTGAAGGGCAGACCAATTTTGAAAGATCTTGCGAACGCCGTTGAGTGACTTCTACGTACCTTTTGATTTGCATATCGGACAGCAGTATATAACCCTATTGTGTATCGTATTGTTGCATTGTATACCGGCACAGCGATTGTTGTAGAATACAGCAGATTGAACGTTAATAATTGTACACGACTGACTATGCATCTATTTTAGCGGGGGCGTTTATACTCTGCTAACCTGGACTATCGCCTCCCACTGATGGCCTGGGTTAGAGTCCCCGTCTGCTTTCGGGAGACGAGGCTGGTACATATCTCACTTGGTCCGAGGGACCCATAACCGGTCCGGTGCTTCGGTATCGACACAATACGTTCCAAAAGATCCACGCATTGTGCAGGAACGTGAATACAGCATTCATCTAACGATTGGATTAACTCCTCTGGCTGCGAGGTAATCTTTGGCAGCGGTAGCGCTCTGCATCACGAATGTCAGGCGGAATGAGCTTTTACAGCAGCGTGACGTTACTAACCAGCCCCTTGAGGAGCTCATACACGCTCTTGTCATGATATCTCAGTCCCGTCGCGGGATCAGTGTATGGACCCTAGAGCGTCGAATGAGACTACCTCTAGCGGCGGTCCGAGAAAAATAAAGGAAATGACGGACCTCCAACCCAGTAATATCGCAATACCGACGCTGCGGAAGCACGGAAGGTGGCGCCTCAATAGACGCATCTGGATTGCCGTCAGGATGGCTCTGCGCAGAGATATGTACGGAAGAAGCAAACATGTTGGCATTTCCTCGTCGGGCGTGCTCTCGCCTGGCTCTCCATCAACGTCCATATTTTCCTCTTTCTCCAATCTTCTTCGTTCCCTTTCTACTCGCTCGCGCTCGCGCTCCTGGGCAAGGACCGCCTTCAGGTTCTTTGTCCGGCGGTTGGCGTTCTTCATGTAGTTTGGATTCTTGAATGGACGAGGAAGATGCATGTATGAAAACTGCTCCGCGAGGGACTGGTGGATAGAATTGAGTCGGGGTAATGCAGTGGTATCTCAAGGGCAACTCACTACGACTGGAGGTGTGGGCGAATCATCGCTAGTGACGACGATGGATTTTCGCTTTGTAGCACCTTTTGGAGGCCTGTATGCGCATATCAGTAGGTATACGGGGCACAAACACAAAACGTCTACATTATACACCGTAGCCTTGATGTCCACGCTAGTCCGGTGGGTGGATTAGTTCGGTTAAGCACAGGATATAATTGAGATCTAAGATCTAAGATTTGTGGTTCAGTCACATGATTGACTCTTGGTCTTGCCCAATTTTCAAGTTCAAACGGCGAGTTAGTTTATAGTCTTTACTCAACATTTATTCTACATTGCTTTCAGCTCGGAGTCCTCAGGCTAGCTTCTGATTAGCGACTACTTGAACGATGGATTCTCTCATCGCGAAAGCCGACGCACTAGGACCCGTTGCGAAAAGACGAAAGATATACAAGGACGAACATAGGAAGAAGTCGAATGGGTCATCATCTCGCTCTGCCGCTCCGAGCGACCTTACGGCGGGTTCAGTGTCCATTCGTACATCTGTACCCAAGTCCCTTCGACCCACATCCCCCCCTCCGGAGAATGTGCCAAAATATTCTCATATAAAGGACAGGAAATTACGCACCCAGCTTACACGGCAATCCACCTGGTCTGCTCGCAATAAGGTATTACTTAAAGATGCAGAGTTACTTTTGACGGAAGAAGTGGGGAGGATAGACGTAGATGGAGAGATGGAGAAGACATGGAGGGTAAGTCAAGACGAAGTGATAAATGCTGCAGGTCAGGAGGCGGCGAGGGGAAGGAAAGAGTGGACTTTAGATGGTGGCCCATACCGCTCAAAGTATACCCGGAATGGCAGGTGCGCATGTTTGTCCCGCGCAAACCTGAGACTCACTGAGATCTGTGTAAATATTCATAGGCACATAGCCGTTGTAGGTCGAAAAGGACATGTCGCTACGTTTGACTGGCAAGCTGGCGTTCTACATACGGAGTTACAGCTGAGAGAGACGTGTAGAGATATAACGTAAATTCTTTTCACAATATAACACAACACAATTTGACCGGTTCATCTCTAGATTCTTGCACGACCATTCTCACTTTGCCGTTGCACAACAGAAATATGTTTATATCTATGATCGAGACGGCGTCGAGCTACACCAACTCAAATCTCATATAGAGCCGACACGGCTCGAGTTCCTACCGTTTCACTGGCTGCTTGCAAGTGTCGTATGTCCGTCATCCTGTACATAGCGATTTCAAACCGTACTGATGTACCTTTCAGGGCAATTCTGGATACCTGAAGTACCAGGATACCTCTACCGGTCAGCTCCTCGTTGAACATCGCACCAAGCTTGGCGCGTGTACGACTATGACTCAAAACACGCATAATGCTGTCATTCACCTGGGACACCAGAATGGTACCGTCACGCTCTGGACTCCCAATCTGCCATATCCGGCTGTCCGGCTTCTGTCACATCTAGGGCCTGTCGTCAGTGTCAGCGTAGATCCAAGTACTGGTGGGAGATACATGGCTTCCGCAGGGCAGGATGGGACTGTAAAGGTCTGGGATTGCCGAAATTGGAAGGGTGCAGTGCGTCAGTGGAATGCGAGAGGAGGGGGCGGTGAGTTGGAGTGGAGCCAGAAAGGCACATTGGCAGTGACAACAGGCGGGAGTGTGAATGTAAGTGTTCAATGAGAATGGGTCATTGCGAGCGTGCTGAACCTCGCGATAGATTTACACAAAGCCTTCCATACAAGCTTCTTTCGCCGGGACAGTCTCTCCCCCTCTATACCTAACGCATCCGATCCCGCACAGGCCATTATCGTCAGCGAGATTTTGCCCGTTCCACGATATACTTACAGTTGGCCATTCTGCCGGTCTCTCGAGCATTCTTGTGCCTGGCTCCGGAGAGCCGAACTTCGACAGCGCAGAGGCCGATCCGTTCGAGAACAAGAAAGCGCGACGGGAGAGGGAGATCAAGAGTCTCTTGGATAAGGTACGCGAATGGCTGAGTGGCTTTTCGACTTTGTTGCTGATAACACGGATAGATACAACCAGATATGATCACGCTGGACCCTGAGTTCATTGGGTCTCTTGCTCCTCCTCCCAAACTTTCTACTGCTGTCGAAGGAGTTCACGATGTTCCTTTTGCACGCCTTCCTCGGTTGGAGCGATTGCGCGTGCAGGGAAAAGCTGACGAAACGGAAGGTGATGACCCAGTGGATGACGAGGGTGACGAGGCTAGGCCCTCAAAAAAATCCTCGCACGAAGAGAAAGAGAAAAAGAAGATGCGTGGAAAGAATAAAAGTCTCAAACGGTGTGTCTCTTGGAGTAGATACAAACATGGACACATCTCAATGTTCATCTAACAGGTATCTACGCAAGCAGCGGAAGAATGTTATTGACCCTCGTGCGGTATGTCTGGAAGATTTATTCAAATCTAATTTTCTCGTGAAGTCTTACTTTCCCATTTTTCTCAGATCGCCGTCAAAGCCAAGTTAGAGAAGGAGCGGGAAGAGAGGCGGAAAGAGAGAGCTCTTGCCAACGGCGCTGAGAAACAGAAATCATCAGCATTGGATCGTTTCAAACGCCGTACATAGTCTTTTCTCATCAGAAACGATATCCAGAAGGTCCAGTTCATCCGATTTCGTGCACGTTTCTTCACTGAGATGTTGATTTTTATCTTCCAGCAGATGGTAATGCTAAGTTGACAGGTCTCAGGTGAGTGAAATTCCCACCTGATGGTGGCAACTATCTACCCTACCGGTACGAAAGCGATGAGAATTCCTAGATGGCATTGCGTTATATCTGCGTTCGAATTTGACAGCTGGATTTCATCGAAAAAAACGGGCGTGTTGTGTCCCTCGTCAAAGCGGCGATTCACCGCTCCGGTCAGTTGCAGACTTATACAAAAGCCGAATAAGTAAAGTCGTACATATTGTGATCGCCAGCCCTCGTTCATTATTTACGAACTCTCGAAACTGATGTTAACAACTTCGTCTAGTGAAGGTGATTTGTATCGCGTAGACAGTGGAAAGGAGTCCCCGTCACCCATGCCAGGGTTTGAGTCTTCACTTGGTGCGGTTTCTCGTCGAGGAGCCAGAGGCTCTATGTCATTCATGTAGCGTTCATGGTGCCGCCCTGCTTTCTGGATGTGTAACTATTATATAATTTTGAGACGGTCAGTGAGTGAATGTCCTTCCATAGAACATTGCCATACTAGCATACGACACCCCAAAATTGAATTAAGAGCCATCGAAATTCTATGGTAAGTGATGGCTTGAACATTTTATAGTTGTAAGATTTCAATTAGGCTACTTACGGTAGGAAAGCGAATAGCATTGATTCTGCCTGTATGAAGAGACGTTACTGGTCAAAGATGTTGACGCTCGAAGAATAACCTACTTTCAGCTTCCAGACGACGAAATTTGCTATGATTGCACCCAATACGCCACCATAATACACCATGGAGTCGCGCATTAATACACTCATGAGATAGGGTGTCTTGATATCTCGCCTAGCCTCATGGACAGTTTTTACAAGAGACAATATGAAGAGGATGCTCTCCCATACAACAATCGAAACCCAGTACATCCATGCCCATGACTTGAGGGTACTAGGAAGGGGTGCGCATCCTTTCATGTCCGAGAGCGGGGAAACCAGGACTGCATTCCGGTTTTATGTTGAGAAAATCGCATACACAAGCTGAGGATAAAGTGGCACCTTTTATCTTGGTAACTACCAAACTGATCAGAATCGATTCAACGATGAGCTCTAACCCGCAGAGTGTACAGAGCGCAGCCAGTAGTCTTCGATCGCATCGATACATAACGTATAACCTTGTGATAAGGATTACTGCGACGGACGAAAGATCAGTACCTGGTAGATTGTGTCGTATGGAGCTCACCATAAAGGGTCAAGCGGGTGGTTATGGATGAAACTATGAATAGCTTGTACCAGAAATTACAGCTTATTCGACAGCGTCAGCAACGATAAACTATCGGTTACAACGCAAGGCATACAACTGTCAGAAAGATTGTGAGTACAAAGCCTAAGGGAATCTAGTCACGTACTGTCAGGTTCGTAGAGTTAATCGCGTTGATCACTGGTATGCGCAATGAATTTCTGTTGTGATGAAAAATATGTCCTCGTACTGATATTGTCAATGCTATTTAATCTTCTAAGCATGTCTATGTCCCACCACAACATGTGATTGTACATACAGAAGGTTGAAAATGCTGTCGCGCTCAATGAACATGCAGCATTTCTTGCTTTGATTGAATTTAAACTTACGGCCAGTATCGGTTCTACGCATAAAGTTAACCAATTGATCAAAGCCAACATTGAGAGACCTTTTCGTACCATCCAGAATAAGATACGGGTCCATACAAATCGCCCGCGCCACATGTGCTCAATCTATGTGGAATGAATAAATCACGCAGTGTAACTTTTCACACTCGACTCGCCTCGTCATGGAAGGTCAAACCTATTATCAAACAATGAGTCCCTGACATGACGGTGGCATAATATGATCCAACGTACAATATTCATATAGAACAAGAACCAGTGAAGCAACTATGGCCATATAATTTCTAGTGTGAGTATGCCACACTAATTAGACTCTACTGACGAACACGTACTCCAAAACCATGCAGTAAATTTACTAGCAAGGTCGTTTACCAGATTCGTGTTGATGCCATCCCGTTCGACGTTCATGATCAAGTCCTTAGGGGAAACGTAATGCGCGACACTACTGAGGGCACAGGGGAAGTAGGAAACTTCAACGACGAAGGCAGCAAGAGATGGACTTTATCTCACTGGCTTGAAGATGATCAATATGGCAGTGCGATATTGTCGAATTTACATCATTTTGTTCGGAGCCAAGATGGATTGCAAAGCTAATCGCAAATTGGGTGTGCCTTTGCACGCTGGACATTAAGGGAAAGCGTCGGTTGGAGGAACGTGATGGAAGACAATGGGAGGAGCACTCAGGCCAGAGACACCTACAAGATTCTTCACTGGCAGTCTGACGCAGAGAAGATTCAAAAAAGAGGTGAATGTACCATGGCTTATGGGCCATACCAATTGTGGGACACGATTCTATCTATCGGAGAGGGTGGGTGTATCAACCCCCTCCCCCTCGGGAGGTCCGAACTCAATTAGATATAACGTCGATGTTCAAACTTCTGGCATAGCGTGGGTTGCACTAGGAACGAGAGATATCACAATGACAGACAGTGTGTGAACATCCTTCGATGCGTTATGGAGGCGTATCTTGAACGCACTGCGCCATCATGATCCAGTCAGGCTGTAGTGTCACGCAGCTAGGGCAGCAGACTATATCTTCGCATCTCTGCAACAGCAATCCGAAACTACCACTTAGGCCACAAGCGATGAGCCCTCTGAGGATGTGCGGTGCTCACCGTCAGGCAACAATTAGGTGGAGAGGAACATAGAAAAGGATAACGTCTGTATAGTTCAAAATCAGATCGATCAAGCTGACGCTAGGAAAGATGAACCCTGATGAAGTTGGGCGTACTATGAACTAATGTATTTATTTGCGGTACTCGTTAATGAAAATTACATATCTAGTAAGTCATAGGTAGTACTTAGATATAAGAACGACAGCTTTTCATAATTACATAATCACTATCCATCTCCTTCACCCGCTCGGCGACACCGGACTTTTTGACTCTTGTCTGGACAGTCCAAGTTTGCCCTAGGAACGCTCTAGACAATCGCATCAGTGTACTTGCCTACAGCTTTCCTCCATTCAATTCACACAATATGGTCTCCGCATCGAC